ATAGTAGTCCATTGTGCGAATATACCACAGCTTCTCTACCCATTCGTTTGTTGATGGGCATTTAGGTTGTTTCCAACTCCTTGCTATTGTAAACAAAGCCACGATAAATATTTTTTGTACTTTTATATACAATTTAAATTTGCTAAAGTGAAGGTTAGAATAACAGAAACTATAGTGTTACACAGAAATTTAGGTCCAGAGATTTATGAGGTTTAGGGAAAGGAGATAAGACTTTTGAGGCCAAAAACTCAATAAAAAAAAAAATCTTTGAAGATTTCAACCCAAGGCTTTCTGTTTGCTTTTACAGGTTGTCAAAAATGTATTTCAATTCTGAGACAAAATATGCATTGGAATCACTTCAAGAAGAAAAGCCCAAGTTGACCATTGTCTTTGAGCCTTCTTGGTAGTGATGAAAACAGAGCATCCAGGCACTGTGTTCTAGAACACTGCTGCCCCATGGGCACACAAACAGGAATGAACATTCTTCTGTCCAAGGTCAAGAGCATAGCTCTGCAATTCCGGCGGAGAGTCAGAGAGTGAATGTTTGCACAGTGTCTTTTTGTTAGGACTTTGGACGTCTTCTTTATCCTTAGATTGACATCATCATGACAATAAAAACACAAGAATCATATTGCTGTAATCATAGTGCCTCTTAGAAGATGTTTACATTCACAGCCTTGTGTGATCAACTCATTCAGTAAGGCACTTCCTCATCTTTGTTCTGCTCTTGTCACTCTTGTGCTTATTTCCTATCTGTTGCTCTTGGTCTGGTTACTTTTCTTAATGCTATCACTCCTGCCAGCTTTCCCTTAACTGACTGTAATGTAGGAGTAAATAATTATGTATTTTATTGGAATTTTGTAGCAGCACCTTATTTATTTTGAATTTTTGGCAATTATGTTAATATTTTCTAATAAAATAATTATGTTTATTGTAACTACTTGAAAATTCAAAAATATAAAATCTTTGTTGTATTTATTGGGTATAATTTCTCAATTTTAAAAGATTATGACAAGACTTTGTTTATTTAAACTATTCTGATGGCCTAGTGGCAAGAAGCTGTGCTGCAATCCCCAAGGCACATGGTTTGAGACTACCACACCAGGCCCTCTGTGGAAGGATGGACAATCTCCCCCCATGTGATTAACTGCATCTGAAAACCCTCTGGAGGGTCAGCTATGGGTCAGTTCTGACTTTATGGTACACAACAACAACAATCACAAAGATAAATTGATCTATTTATCACTTGTAAGCATTTAAATGATTTCTCTTTTTTCTAAATAATTGAACTCAGTGGGGGCAGAGAGGGGCACAACACTTCACCCTAATTCTGATGATTAGAATTTCATATGTGGCAGAATAGGAAATAAGTAGGCTCCTGATAGAGCATTAAATAGAGTATTGTGTGGAAAAGATGTTTTGCCTTTAAAAAAGTGAGATTTATTTTAAAATTTATCCCATCCTAAGTCAATAATAGATCATAACATTTTTCCTTAGCATTAATCATTAATAAATAATGATCCAGTTGTTCCTCTTCATATGGGAAAATTCCTTAACCACATAAAATTGCTTGCAATGGAAATACTACTTCCCCTGCAAAATGAGGTTATCTAAGCTTATAGTCAGTGTGGCTTGTGAACTGTAATTGTGTTGTGCAAGGATGTAAGTCAGTCCCATTACTAAGCATACTTTTTTAGACAAACTTACTTATTTTCACAGTCAGGCTTTCTCAAAAAAGGAAGCAATGTGTGATCTTACATTTTGGTTTATACCCTTTGTCTTGCCTAGGACCCGCATTTTTAGTAGCACTGATTTAGACGTTTGTTTTCTCCATTCTGGTAGTTCATTATTGCAGATAGTCTTCATGCTGCAAACACTTCAATTGTTGGGGATGTTAAAAGGAGAATTGATGCCTTTGAGCTGTAGTGTTGGAGAAGAATTATTGAATATACCATGGACTTCTAGGAGAACAAACAAGTTCATCCTGGAGAGGGTAAAGCCAGGCTGCTCCTTGGAGGTAAGGATTCTAAAGCTCCATCTGACATACTTTGGACATGTTGCAAGACAGGATCAGTCCTTGGAGAGGGACGTCATACTTGGGATGGTGAAAGGGACAGTACAGGAAAGAAAGACCCTCTATGAGATGGATTGATTCTGGGGTAATGGGGTTAGATGTGTCAGGGACAATAAGATTGGCACAGAGAAGAGCAGAGTTTAGGGTTGTTGTACATAGGGTCGCTATAAGTTGCAGGTAACTCGACGGCAACAACAAAATGTAATTTAATAACACATAAGCAAAACTGTTATTGTTGTTGGTTGTTATTATATGCCATCAAGTTGCTTGCTACTCATAGCGACCCTGTGTATAAGAGCCCTAAACTCTGCTCTGTCCTGTACCAACCTTATTGTCTCTGACACACCTACCTCCTTTACCCAGTTACTGAATCTATCCGTCTCATCAAGGGTAGAAAGAAAAGAAAATTAAATTGCTGAGTACTGTATTGTTGCTATGTGCCATTGAGTCACCTGTGACTCCTAGCGACCCTATGTACAGCAGCTCTGAACCCTGCCATGTCCTGAGCCAATCTCACCGATTCTGACACACCAACCCCCATTTTTCCAGTTACTTTATCAATACATCTCACCCAGGGTCTTCCTCTCCTACACTGTCTCTCCACCTTTTGGAGCATGATGTCCTTCTCCAAGGACTGTTCCCTCCTGACCATGTGTCCAAAGTATGTGGAGAACTTGGAATTGCTTTGATAAATTTAAGAATATTTTCATAAGGACCCTGCAATAAGGGAGCTCTGGTGGCTTAGTAGCAAGAAGGCACTGCAATCCCAGAGGACACAGTTCAAATCCACCAGATGCTCTGCTGGAGAAGGAGGGGCAATCTCCTCCTGTACCAGTCAGATCCAATTTGACAGTACATACAAAATAATAATAAAACAAAACTTTAAAAAAATTTTAAAAAGACCCTGTAATATTACTAGTTCGAAAAGTTCATGAGATTATACATACTATTAGAACTAAAACAATGAACTAAGCTCAATATGTTAAAACAACCAATTAGATGCAATCAAAAAAAATACTTCAACCATCAAAACAAAGACTGGATCGGACACAAAAACACCTATGAAAGCTATACCTTGATGGGAATTTAAATGAGAAGCAGAATAGTTGCATTATTTCAAAATATCTCTCCAGAGATGAGTAATCAGTTGTGAAAGAAAAAAATAATAATACCTTTTTATTGAGCAGAAAGTGTATACAACCCTGTGACCATATAATAAAATGTAATATCAATGAGGGCAAAATAGATATCTGTCTAAAGACCCAATAGCACCTATTCAGGATTCTGGTTGAAAATATGTAAATAGCATCTATGTATCAGAAAATATGATAAAAACTTCAAATGCAATAACGCTATTAAAAAGAGAAGGGAACTATATTCTTTAATAATGCCAATGTCACAAAAAGGGGGAAGGTAGCTGAAAAAAATGTTTCCAGTTAAAAAAAAAATATTAAAAAGCACAAATAAACTTGACACTATAAAGGACAGAGTAGAGCTGGAAGGGAACGATGCTGTGCAAGCCATTTTTTCTCATTAATTGACTGAATTACAATATGAAGAATGTATTAGGTAAAACAATTTTGCTAATGTTAAATTGGTTATGTTGTTGTTATAAGAAGAGGGATATTCTCTTATATAACAAATATACATTGGCTATACTTTTTATATAATTTCCCTCTTCTTAGTAAGTATTGGAAAGGTTTATGAAATGAATTTGCCACTCTGCAGAAATTATCCTCAATGCATTAGAAAAATAAAATTCATGTAAGTGGAGAGAATTCCAACAGGGTAAATTTGGTGATTTAAACCAAATATTTATACATCAATATACACATGATTTTTTTATATTCTAATTATTATAACTTTTCTGCACATAACAAAATATATGAAAAGTTAAAATATTAAAATGATTAACCGTATTCCTAAAAGTTTTAGGGGAGCTCTGGTTGCCTAGTGGCAAGGAGCTGCAACTACAATACCAGAGGCTCACGGTTCGAATCCACCAGATGCTCTGCCGGGAAAGGAGGGACAATCTCCTCCTGTACCAGTCAGATCTGATTTGACGGTACACTCACACAAAAATGTATATTAAAAAAAAAAGTTTTATTCATTGTAATAAAATGTATAGGATATCCAAATATTATTGTATGTTGAGGTTTGATGATGAGTGCATGTCATCACATATATTACACTTAATTATCCTACTGAGGCCTCACATCATTGTTGTTGTTGTTTACCACCAAACTCAAATCGACTCAGAGCTGACACTCCAGCAGGTTCCAAAGGCAGTTAATTGCCTGGAAGGAGACTGCTCATCTTTCTCCTGCAGAGTATCTGATGGATTCTAACCATTCTGTATGCCTTTGGGTGGGCAGCACAACTCCTTATCACTAAGCTACCAGAGCTTACCACAGTCTTCAAGGTAGATATTATGTACATCTCCATTTTATACTAAATTGAGCTTAGGAATCTCAAATAACATTTCTATTGGCATGCATACAGAAAATAGCAAAACCTGGGTTTAAACCCTGGTTTAAAATGTAAGAACAGTGTAAGCAGAATCAAGATGATCATGTCTGACCTCTCCCAACTGCAAAAAAGGGCAGTGTCTCCATCAACAAGACCACAGTGTAAAACCAATTTCCATAAGGTCAGACATGGTAGTCCACCTGTCATATTGGATCAAGTGAGTTCTGATCCAGTATGACTGATGTCCTTAAGAAAAGGAGCAGAAATAGACACATATATAGAAGGACATCATTTGAAGAAGGATACAGAGATTGGGTTGACAGTGCCACAAACAACAGAACATCAGGAGAAAAAGAAGAATGTTCAAAGAGTTGGTGAGGTACCTCCCAGCCAACACTCTGAATTCAAAACTCTAGCCTCCAGAACTGTGAGAGAATAAAGCTCTGTTGTTTCAAGTTACCCAGTTTGTGTACTTTGCACAGCAGCCCTAGGAAATCATACAGCCAAGTTTGTCAAGGTCCCAGTATTGAATAATTTTGCTGAAAAGAAGTTTTAAAAAATTTCTTTAGTTTTGCATGAGTCAGATATTTCAATTCCTGTATTTGTTGTGTTCATGCAGGTAAATATCATTGTGCTGGACCTTGAAGTTTCTGTAAAGGAAGTTCATGTAAACTTTAAAACACACTACAGTTTTGTAACCTTCCTTTTTCATTTCTTCTTTTTAAAAAGGAAAAAAAAATATATATGACTGACCTGGAATCTTTTGCAATGCTTTTCCTGGCCACACTCTGGGCACTTCTCCTTTCCTGAACTTGATCCTGACTGCTACCCAGTCACATCTTGTGCTAGGGCTTCCCAGCATTT